CCCCCCCCCCCCCCCCCCTTTCTCGTACGTAAACCCTTTGACACCAAATCTGAATTAAATATATTTTTGTCTGTACAAAAAGCGTATTTTCTATCAGTATTTTGATATTTACATGTTTTGTCGCATATTGTATAATATATATATAATTATTCATGTACAATTTTATATAATATAACCTTTCATATTATATTTGATAAATACATTTAATACAAACCTATTCGTTGACTTACTTTAGTTAGATCCTTTCTGTGACCCGAAAACGGACTACGACGAATATTGTTTGGACTGGAAAATATACAAATCCAAATTTCTGGTCTAGGATATTTATGTTCATGAAAGTTGAACGATCCAAGGAAAAATCATCAGTTTTGGTCTTCACTTCTTTCAAACTTTTTGTTTTCGATGAAATGAATGGAATCAATGGGCTAAGGAAGACGGGCAACATCATGCAGGGTGAAATGAGGGAAATTTTACCAGGATAGCAGCATTAGCCTGCTTCTTTTAGGTTTCTTACTGTCGAGGGATCTTTAACTTGCACAGCCTGTAGCACACCGGCCCTCCCTTCATTGTCCCATCCGAACGACAGTTGAAAATCCGAAGATATCTCGGCCCATGCTGGATTGAACCCTGGACCATCAGGTTAGCGAGCAAGCGTCTTACTCACAGCGGCCCCTATGTTTTTAATTGGGCTTTTTCCAAATGACAAGTGTCATGAAATCGTCCTCTTGTGTTTGTAATGTAGAAACCAACGCTAGAAAAGATAGTTTGCAAGACAAGGTAGCATACATTAGTCTTTAGTGACTAAAATACGAATTTTCTCATTTTAAATATTGCATTTGTAATTATTTATTTAGTTATTGATTAAAGATAGCTTGCCAAGCATGGTAACATACGCCCACTACCAGCTGTCAGAAATGATAAAGTCTGGTTTAATATGTGAATCCAATCATCCAATTGTAACTAATTTAAAGCATTGAATTAATTCAACGGCAATAACTAAAAAATCATGCATCTAATTATTTCCATTTTTTAACTTGAGATCTCATCAATAATATACATGCATACCAAGTTTCATCCAGATCAGATAAATACTGCACCCTTTATCGTGACTACAAACCAAATTTGAAGCGTTTTTAAAATCAGGGGATGAAATAACTCTAACACCATTCTTGATCGATATGTCATCAATTTATACATGCATACCAAGTTTCATCAAGATCAGATAAAAACTGTAGCCTCTATCGTGCAAACAACAATTGTGGACGGACGGACCGACGGACGGACGGACGGACGGACAGGGGCGACGGAAATATAAGTCCACATTTCCATGTGGGTGTATAAAAACTATATTGTGTTTACGAAAAGATTTTTACGCGTTTTTCTAAGTCAATGACAATAATTAAAAAACGTCAAATTCAAATTTTCTAAGATCTAATCAATATAAATGTTCACAGAAAATTCCATTGAAATCAGATAAAAACTGTAGTCTCTATTGTGTTCACAAACAATTTTTGATGTGTTTTTCAGATGTCTAGGGCAATAACTAAGATAGCTTTCCAGGCAAGGTAATATACGCCCACTGGAAGCTTTGATTTTAATTAAAAATATTTGGCAGTACAGTAACAATTACCAGTATGAAATATTCAACCTTCAGACATACACTTCTTTTGACCTTATTGAGGCGATACTGAATAATATTACCAAGTTTCGTCAAAATCCATCAAGAATTGTGCCTTCTAGAATGTTTACGTGCTACAAATTGAATGCATTTTCATTAACAAGGGCAATAACTCAAACCAACGATTTTTCTGATTTTCAATAGGGTTCATCCTTGGATGATTACTAACACTCATACAAAGTTTCATCTAAATACGTCAAGATTTGTGCTTTCAATTTTTCTGATTTTCGATAGGGTTTATCCTTGGGTGATTACAAACACTTCAAACTTTCGTCAATATCCATCCAGAATTGTGACATCCAGAGTGTTTACAAGCTAAAATTGCACGAGTTTTCAAAGACAAGAGCAATGACTCATACTAATTATTTTTTTATCTTTTTGGTTTTAAATAGGGTTCATCCTTGGCTGATAACAAACACTCACACCAAATTTCATCAAAATCCGTCAAGAATTGCTCCTTCTAGAGTGTTTACGAGCGTTTTAAGAACAAGCCAATAACCCATACTAAATATTATTCGATTTTCTGATTTGCAATAGGGTTCATCCTTGGGTGATTACAAACAACCGTACCAAGTTTCATTGAAATCCTTCAAGAATTGTGCCTTCTAAAGTGTTTACGAGCAATTGCGGACGACGGACAGGGTGACGACAATATACACCCCCCATTTCATGTGGCCGTATAAAACCAAAGACTTTAACCAAAGACTTTAACTAACCAATTAAATATTTTATGATTTTTCACATATTGCAAAGAGTTCCTTTCTGAGTCAATATGGAAGAATTTCCTGAAGTTATTATGTCAGATTATTATGATTCTGACAGGCAGACATGCCCAACAAATCTGGCCTGACCCACAACTCGGGTGTGATATCGACAAATACATATACATCCCATGAATGGATATATTTGTACAGCTAAATAGCCGTGGCGCAATACAGATAAGATCAGCAATGCTGTAACATCATAAAAGTAACGAAAAAAAGGGGCTGGAGGTATTATCTTTCTTGAAAATATTTTGAAAAGGTTTAATGTATTGTTTTACAGGATAGAAATAATACAAGCTGAAAAATCTTTGAGGTCAATATGGGCAAAGGAAGAAATATATAATTCTTTTGTGATATAGTTATTACATGAAGCTGTAATTGGTTCTATCCTTTCAAACACATAACATAAAACTCTTTGAATATTGATGATGCATTCCTATGGTTTATAATGAAGGACATAATTAGACAATTTTTCTGATTTTTTTTATTTCACATGTTAAAGTAACAAGTTTATTTCTTTACAGGTTTCGATCCTTTAGCTTTTTTAGAGACACCCTTTTTTGGTAAAACTCGTTTTCGCTTCCTTATTTTTCCCTTGGCTTTTCTGTATGCTTGGGCAGCAATGATGTCACAATGTTGGCGTCCACGTGCTGTCAAGATTCTACCTTTTCTTGAAGAGGATTTTTCCACCATTTTCACTCCTTCTAAAGATTGGAAAATTTTTCTTGCTACACCTCCAGAAGCTTGAGAGAAGTGACTTGGAGCAGTTCCATTTCTTTGATTGCCACCATAAACTCTCTTCACAGTACCAACACCCAAAGGAGCTCTCATGTACATTCTTCTACACAATGCAGCTGCTCTTATATAAAACCAATCTTCACTGTATGGAGCCAGTTCCTTGTACGGACCAGTCTTTACAATATCCATCCAATCAGGCAACTTCATCTTTCCACTTCTCTTTAAGAAAGCAGCAAGACGATTTATAAAATCATGTTGGTTAACATCCTTGACACCAATACCCATCTTGATCTGAAGTCAGTTCAGTTCAGGTGAGCCTACAAGAAAAATAATTCTATATTAATATGTCTGTCCTCAGACATGAACGCCACCATCAGATTTATTATTCTCTAATATAAGCTTATGAGAGAGAGAGGGGGGGGGGGGGGGATTAAAGCAGATGCCCATAATTAAATGGATGTCACAGTTCCGTTCAGGTACTGACAGAAATGTACAAATGAAAGTACCCGCATAGAGTAGTACATAGATAATCAAATATGCCAATGTGACGTCAGTAAACCTGTATTAGTGAGTGTACAACAAGTGATGAAGTGTGTGGCCATGCGGTGATATCTGAGCACACATTCACACATGGATTAACAAAGAACCAGTCTTACAGGCCTAATCTCAACAAAATTTTGAGTTAAGCTTTTCCAAAACTTAAGGCATTACTTTCGCTTAGTAAATACTTCGATTTTACTTTAAAAGTTGATATATTTGGGCTACGAAAGAGGAGAAATAACAACGTGACTGCTTACTTAGAACATGGCCGATAAAAAGGAAGAGCATTGCCAATCACAGGTCATGTAAGATTGTTCTCTAGAAGTGAACCAATCAGATCCTTCGAAAGAAAATATATTCTTAAAAAGAGTAATCTCCCGTTGATCGTTTCAATCAGACGCATTCGATTTTATGGTCTGTACAGTGTTCTTTCTATAAGACTAGTATCAGAACTAGAAACTGCTGGCGTGTTCTTTACATTTTGAATTAAAATAACAATATTCCTAAGCATTAAACCATTATTTAGTTCTTTATAATTCGTGCTACATTTTACATTACTGTACTACTTTATTGGACCAAATATGTCTTAATTTCACATGCCGTGTCGGGTCAACTCTCATTTGAATATTTTTTTGTACCAAATTGCGCCTGATGTCTGTGAATCTAGAATTATTTCGAGACTTAACTAGCCTTGTTTATATAAGTACTTAAATCCATAGTTAACATTAGCCCAAACTATTTGTATTAAATTCTGTGATTATCCTATCAATTCATTCATTTTTTATCAAGGCCTACTGATTGGAAGGGATAGTGACATCCTGCTCATCTTTACCAACAATTTACCAACCTTATGTTAATTAATATGCTGAACTCGACTTTTGAATGATAGCAAAACGGACCGATAAACGAACGTTGAAGAAATATGTCAGATTCTTCCGGAAATTTATTATTTTGTCATGCGCAGATGATTATTACAGTGCTCGCGCCATCAGTCGTCAAAAAAATAGCAAAAAATTACTAAAATTACCTTGGAAATGGCATAAAAGTAAATTTAACAATATTATTTTCTGTTATCTGAAATCATTATTCATATCTACATCAATGCTATTCACAAGCTTTTGATTGAAATGTAGAAACTTTAAATACAGTGCAAATCTTTCTCTGCTACTGTAAGCTACCGGTACTGTCATTTTTTTTTCGATTAGGCTAGGTAGCCTACTAGTATATCTAGTGTAGTAGCCTACGTAATCATCAGCATAATTATAGAAACTAAATCTAGAGAATGATAGATACAAGACTGCAGTCATCAATTTCGCCTTGCCAAGTGAATTAGTTCATTTCCCACCTGGTTTTGTCCCTGGTCCTGACTTTCTCTACTAAACTGAGCTCAGAATTGAGTTATTGCCCTTGAAATATTAAAAAAGCTCTTAATTTGGCTCTTAAGAAAATATTATTTTGAAATCACATTTTTTGTGATGCCACTTAGATCCACCTTTTGGGGTAGATAATTCATTCTTGATTATTCTGCTCTGGTTATATCTGAAATGTGAATAACATATTTAGGTAATCAAGTGCTAAGCCTAAAGCAACTGGAAGTGGAAGCTATTTTATTTGGATAGAGCTGGACAGAAGTTTTACATTTGCATTGTTAATAGGTTATTAGATAGTAAGATAGTCAATCGTAGAAACTATTGTTTAAATTTGCATTAAATATTTTCTGAAAATGTTATAGAGATCAATTGAAGTATGAGATGTTACATTTTGGCATAAATTTGCTATTTTATTATTTTTTATTCCCATAGATGGCAGCCATCAAAACAAATTTTAAGATGATACTTTGTTCAAACTACATGATTATTTCATTTGTGCAATAACAAAGATGTGTGTTTTGATATCTTTAATACCTTTTATTCCCAGATACACAGATAGTATGGCAAACCAAGCTCCCACATCTGCAGATGCATGTTTAAGTATTGTTCATAGTTTGATGTGTCATAGACAGGGTGGTGAAAGTGAAAGTTTTGGCAAAAGAGCAATAGAAAGTTTGGTTAAGAAATTAAAAGAGAAACGGGATGAATTAGATAGTTTGATAACAGCTATAACAACAAATGGGGCTTTACCATCAAAATGTGTTACTATACAGAGGACGTTAGATGGTAGATTGCAGGTATGTAAATATTTTGGTATGATTTCCCACACAGATGTGGCATAAATGTTTTATTACATAGAAATATTGATGAGATTGCTTTGCATCATTTGGTTTTATCATTATTGTATTGTTATTATGATTTTTAAATGACAATTCTATGTTGAACCATTAAAAGTAGATCAAACTGTCGTTCATTATTAGCTTTTATTTTTGATATAGCCCCTGAATATGTAAGTATCTGCATTCACTAATACATGCAATTGAAAAAAAAATTTCAGGTTGCTGGTAGAAAAGGTTTCCCTCATGTCATTTATGCTAGAATATGGAGATGGCCAGATTTGCATAAAAATGAGTTGAAACATGTCAAGTTTTGTCAATATGCCTTTGATTTAAAACAAGACAGTGTTTGTGTTAATCCATACCATTATGAAAGAGTTGTTTCCCCTGGAATTGGTAAGTTATGTTGATTTTGTTTCACTCAAACATCTTGCCAATTCTGCAAATTTATCAAGCAAGATCAAGATCAGCAGCATTAAGTTTGTTTCTTCTGAAAGGACAGGTTCGTCATTCATTTGACCAACGGTACCTTAGTCTCAGAAAGGGAATGGTTTAGCTAAGCTCTAATCAGTAATTGTGTTCACAGTTCACCAGAGAAATTTAAACTTCAAACCTATATGTGTCCAGAATTATCGATGTCCATTATCTAACTCGTCATTTCTTGATAGTTGCCATAAAAGCTTATTGAAAATACGTTAATAGAAATAGAAAGTGAAATTTCTAGTTCGTGGTATTTTTAAAAGAATTATGTGATTTTTGTACATTTCTAGTACTCCTGAAACTATTTACATACATTCAAGACCCAAATTAATCCCTGAAAATGTCAAATCTGTCCCTTTAAAATCAACCTATAACAAAAACTCTGTTCTGTAGAATGCAAGGTGAACAATTACAGGGCAAATTACATATACCCTTTGGAAACTAAATTTGATTAATATTTAAACTTTTCTTATAACACAAATTTTTTTTTCTAGTAGTTGCAATAAGAACACACTATACAACTTAAATACAATATGAATCCAGTGTAAATTATGAATGAGGATTCTTATCAATTATATTTAATGCAGATCTTTCATGTACGATTTGTCAGATAATAGACTTTTACAAAGAATACTATCATTTGAACAAGATATATTGTATACTGGACCAACTTTAAATCTCTATTAGCCTCATTTGGATTGCAAAAAAATAGGCTACCCGGTGTTATAATCTCTTTCACTTTCATTTTACTCAATGCAAAATTGTTTCCATACATACTCATATCCATAAACTAAAATAATCATTGCTAGAACTATTAGTATTGCTTGTTATTGTTTTTTTTCAGATTTATCAGGTTTAACTCTACAACATGCTGGTAAGTGAAAACTACCCAGGATATAACAATAATGATAATAAACAATGATAGAGGAATGTAATGATGTTATTTGTTGTATTCTACACAGCTTTTCTAGTTGTACAGTCAGTGAAAATTGTGTGGCTTTTCATTTTGTCAAGTCAGTTTATTGTCTGTTAATTTCTCGTGTTGTCTGTATATTTCAACTTTTTCATAATAACTTAAGATAGAATATATTTATTTTTTTTAATTGAGTAAAACAGATAACTCCATTAGAAGGACCATAAGAGTTTGTTGAGTATTCTTATATCAGTAACCTCAGATTTTTCTGTAAAATTACTGTATATATTGTAAGCAAATCATGCTGGAATATTAGCATGATTATACTATATTATAGTATTTATTTTCTATAAGATTTGAAAAAATAGCTAAACTACCTAATATCGGAAAGAATGCAAAAGTTGATAGGTATTTTGATTTGTTTAATGTGTTAGGTACTCTATTGTTTGCTCACTACAGGTCCTCCTGGCAGGTTGATTAAAGATGAATATGGTGGGGAAATACAGATGGATAGAATTGGGGGTGCTAGTGGGGAAACCAGTCAAACAATACAGCACCCCCCTCAGGAACCTGGCTATAATCCTATGTTACGAGGTAAATCGAGAAATACATCAAAAGGAGAATTTTTACAATATTTTACAATACATAATGACATTACTGAAAAGGTTCAGTACATAAACCATATTTGATTGAAGTGTAAGAATTTTCAGAAATTGTCATCTTGACTTGCCTAATTTTCTGACAGTTTCATTTATCAATTCAAATATGGTTTTATACTATAACATTAATTTTTGAATACATGGCTTAATATTCCCTCTGTAATTGGTATTATACATTGCTATAATTGTTGTCTTGAACTATTATGTGATGGCAGTTATATTCAACTTGATTTTTTTTGAAAAAATTTTCTCTGCATGAAATATTTTGGTGTTCTATTTGGGAGTATTGCAAACATTTAATTTAATTCATATTTAATTTGCATGATATTCAATTTAATTTTGCTTTGTCAAAGTTTTTCTATGACCAGTATAATTTGAATAATAGAGATGATATTGCATTCACATCAACAGGTTTAATAATACCAAAATTTGATTTGTACTTGAATATTCTTTTTACAGTTTAGTTTGGCTGTTTTTATCCTTTCATTTGTTAGTTGGTGTGAATGTATTGTCATACTTCCAATTTGATTATCCTTACCAAATATCTATTGTCCATTGTCCAATCTAGGTAACGTTTCTTCACCATCATCACAAGCTACAGTGCAACATCAACAACAGCAACAAGTTATCCCTGCTGCACCAGCAACCATCTCGGCGAACTCTACGTCGGGTCACCCTCACACATCGGCAGTCCTCACTCCTGGAACTATGTCACATCCAATCTCCCCGCAACCATTGTCCCCAGCCAGCCAATCAGGTCATGAGTTGAATCGATCATCCAGTGAGTTATATAGTCTATATATCATCTAGAATGCTAGTAATAATACTTGTTAATACTAATGTTTGTTAATCATTAATCTGGGAAAAGGTATAACATTTTGAATTTTATATGATAATGATAACTTGATTGACTCATTTGACTCTGAAGAATATATCAGCATGATGTTGATAGTGTTTAATTAATACAATTAACTTTGATTAAATATATCTGATGATAACTTCTTCTAAAAGGAATAAAAACCTTAACTCATTAATCATCAAGTATTTAGGGTCTTCTTAATCAGCATGATAATATTTTGATATTTAAAATCCACTTCTCATGAACCCTTGGGCACTTTGTTGACAATTGTTATGCATTTAATATGGATAATAATATAATATTACATTATATTATGATGGTGAAAATGGACTTCTAACAAATTGTCTGGAAAAATTATTCTGCTTTGAATGAAAATGTCAGTAAAAATTCTATTTCCCTCCCATAACTATTGATATGAAACTCATATATATATAAAATAACAAGATCATTTATATTCAATTTCATGATTAACTTATTCACATTCATTACTGGAGCCTTATTTTGTTTAATATGCTTTAAATGTTGTATTTTTGTCATATGATATTCAGCCTAATGTGCTTTAATTGTATTTACTTATTCATTGATTCAGTTGCATTCACCAAGAATACTGGGGTAATGTGCACTGTTAGTTTCACTTGTTTACAAGTTGTGTGTGTACATACTAAAACGTGGACTAATATTAACAATGCTTAAATAGTAGGCCAACCATATTCTAAATGATTTTTTTTTTTTACATTGAATAGAAAGCAGTTACATTACAATAATTTGCCTGTTTTTAACTTCTTTGGAAGAGAAGCAATACTGTATGTTTGAAATTTGTTCTTTGTATGTATCAAAGTGTAATGAACCATTATTTCAGGTGGTAATTCTCTAACTCATGCTGGTCCACCCCACACTATTCCTCATGCCACTGGACACAATATGCCTCAACCATCACCCTCACAGTTAGATAATTATACCAATCAAATAGCTACACCTTCCTCTTCGACATTAAGTCATTACCCTAGTAGTAAGTTATATATCACATAAACACATTCAACAGTTTTCATTATCCCATACCTGATGGAGTATCACTTATATCTTCTTACTTCTTTTTCACATCTATACTCAGATGTGTTTTGTAAATTTTTTTTTCTGAGGGAAGATAATACAATTCAAGAAACTTTTACATTTTGGAAATATGTGGGATATTTTAAGCTTTCAGTGTGTTTTGTGATGCTTATTTTACTATTTTTATTCAGATTAAGCATGAGCTTCATTGCTGCTGCTGCAATATTTCAATGTGTCTTGTGTATTTTATTTTCATAAGGAATGGTATCCTAGCCATAGGTATATATACTATTAATATGTATTAATTGATACTGAGACTATTTCTCTATCGCCTCATACTTCTTCTATAGTTATGATCTAGTTGGTTTAAGGTTTGATTTTTTGAAACGGAATTTGTAGGTTCAGGTACAACATGGGTTGGAAACAATACAGCTACATATTCAGGAAACATGTCTCAACCACAGTTTTGTAAGTCATATTTTAATTCTTTAATGTGTAATTTAAGAGAGACCTCATGACTATTCTTTTGAAATTAAGTATGATTATGAGTAAAATATAGTTTGATGAGATGTTATGAATTGAAGACAAATGAAAAAATGAGCAGGCCACTTTCTCATTCTAGAGTATAAGATGTATAAAAAGTCAAATGTTTATTAATGACCACATTAATATGATTTACAGGGAATAACAATCAAATGCCATCTGATATTAGTCAAGTACAACCTCTTACAAATCAATTACGTAAGTATTTAATTATCTGAAATGACCAGGATTAATTTGTAAGTTAAAATAGGAGTCATGAATATTGATACTATACAATAAAAGTTTTTATATAGCACATTAAGAACAATCTAAAAACATTATAAAACACTTCAGGTCTGAAAGCTGTTAGTGAGTTATCTTTGGATAAATTTTAAATTACCAAAAATTTAATCTTAAGTTGTGTCCATTTCAGCACCAGAATTTTGGTGTACCATAACATATTTTGAGTTAGATCAGCAAGTTGGTGAAACATTCAAAGTACCATATAGTTGTTCTACTGTCACTGTTGATGGTTATACTGATCCTTCTAGTATTGATAGATTCTGTTTAGGACAGTTATCCAATGTTCATCGTACTGAGGCTAGTGAAAGAGCTCGGTAAGGACTGGTTTACTAACAAATTTAGTTTGTAAAAAAGTCAGATGAGGTAACATAATGGTGATTTTATTATTCTATGTTCATATTGGGTTTGTTTATGCCTATTCACTTTCTTTCTCTTTTCATATGATCCATAACCAATGAAATATTCTTATATCAATTTCATGATGATGTAATTGAATAAGTTTCAAATGAGACAAAATTTGTTCTTTCTTTCATTTGGAAAATTGAAAGAAAGGATGATTCAATATCAGAACTGAAATATTTTATATTTTACACTTCCAAGTCTCTGCTTACCTAAATTTACTGATTTTAAAATTGTAATGGATTGAAAAAAATTATTTGATGTTTTATTACAGATTACATATAGGTAAAGGAGTTCAGTTAGATTATCGGGGTGAAGGTGATGTATGGATAAGATGTGTTAGTGATCATAGTGTCTTTGTACAGAGTTATTATTTAGATAGAGAAGCTGGTCGAGCTCCTGGTGATGCTGTACATAAAATTTATCCTAGTGCTTATATAAAAGTAAGTACCTCAATATAAGAGATTCTTTTCATTTTGGAAATGTGTGATATATGTTTGGAGATAGATTGTGATGATTGACAAGTTACCAATAATAATGTAAAGAGTTTGGTTGGTGTGACATACAATTTTTTGTAGATTTTACAATGGAAAATGTTTTATATTTAATATTTTAGGTATTTGATATTCGACAGTGTCATCGTCAAATGCAGCAGCAAGCAGCTACAGCACAGGCGGCTGCAGCAGCTCAAGCAGCTGCTGTTGCTGGTAATATTCCAGGACCAGCATCAGTAGGAGGTATAGCACCTGCTGTGGGTACGTAGTGACCGTAATCCCCATATAATAAACCCCTGGGGAAGAGGTCCTCCACTCACAGAAAGGTTTATTTTATGTTTTTTTATTTGTTTTACCAACCTCTATTGTTCTCTCCTAATCTTGGCCCTTTAGTGTTTTAGTACTTTTTATTTTGTTTGTCTTATCTAACATGGTTGCAGGGCTATTAACTACTATTCTCAAAAGGGGCTGTTTTGGTAGATAATTATATTCATGAACACTAGAAATAAATTGATTGAGGCAACCCATATAAATTGTGAATAAATATGACTTTGAAATTGTTTTAAATTAGAATTTTCTACAAATATAAGTTCCTTGAACATGACTACTCCCTTTTATGTCCTATTACTTTAAGGTTATAGATATTTAGAGTTTTATGGTTAGATATTATGATAAAATTTGTTATTAAACTTAAAGAACATACCTTTGTTCAATCTTCCTTTGAATTCGCTACAACAAATCATTTCTAATTGACACAATATTAAGAATAGTTTTTTTTTAATTATTTTGCCTGGTAATGAGAGAACACTAAAAGAAAATTTCTATATTGAAACTCTTTTCCAATGATTTATAGAAAATTTCTGTCTTTTAGGTCTGTCAGCTGCAGCTGGTATTGGTGTAGATGATTTAAGACGTTTGTGTATTTTACGATTAAGTTTTGTGAAAGGTTGGGGACCTGATTACCCTCGCAAAAGTATCAAAGAAACTCCATGTTGGATTGAAGTCCAATTACATCGTCCTTTGCAGCTGTTAGATGAAGTTCTTCAAGCCATGCCAATTAATGATCCACGTCCACGACAAGGATTCTTTCTAGGATGATGAAGTTTGTGCTATATCTTCACGGGTAAACAACAGTCAATTATTTAAAAAGTGAAGATTTCCAAGATCACAATGATATTAGCAACATAAGAAAGGGGATTTAATCGGTGGTGTAATTTTTGAGTGGCTAAATGTTGTTTCTTGAGCTTGGAAATTAAGGTAAAGCACTGTGTAATGAATATATTGTTGTAATATTTTAATGGCCATACAATTTGTGCTATATAAGATTTGAACAACATCAATCTGTGCTATAAATTTATGGTTGTGTGAATGTGTCCTTGTAAAACCTTAGAGGCAATACCATTCCTTATTCTGGATTTATACACTGGCTTCATGGACTTTTCCATTAAAACAGGTAATTTATTAGAGGTTTTACAGTATAGTCCTGCACAAAAGTCAGTGATTCTATGAGACAAAAATTTCAGATTAGGAGTAGTACTACCTCTAATAAGGTGGACTATTTTGATGTCAAATCATTAATTATTTAAGATTTTACAAATAAGTGTATTTTGATCAAACAATATTTTCAAAGAATCATCATTGTTTATGATCTAGTGTACTCTCTGTTGTTATTGTCTATATTTTCTATGAAAGTATCCTTTGACATAGCTCTAAACCAGCGCCGAACTTGCTGTATGCAAATTTATGCATGACAATTATTATTCAATGAGGCATTTTTAAGAAAAAAATTTTTGGCAAAATATTAGGCTTGCTTGTCAACTTGTTCACAAAATGCTGAATTATCAACTTTCCCTCAATTTCTTCCATAGTTGACTTTGAAACTGAGAATTTGGCATAACTTACCAAAACTACAAATGCAGCAATTGATTTGGCTTGCAATTTAGTTAAGACCTTTGAAACACAAAATAAAATTCATTGCCAATGAACAAATAGCAATTGACTGTGTACAATTACATACATATGATATAGGTGAGAAAACCAAAGAGTGGAGATAAAAAATACATCAAATAAGAAATGTAAATAATAATATTACAGTTGTTGTGAAAATCATGCCATCATATTTTATCATATATCATTTATTCATCATGTTTATGTATGTACAATTAATCAAAATATTAATAAGTCTTAGTTACTTAGTATATATAAATGTGAAAATGAAAACCAAGCAATGAAAATAGAATAGCCATCATGTATCTAATGAATCAAAATACTTGATATTTTGAATGTAAAAGGATCTTGTTATTTTTAGTAAACTCTTATTACATTGTCATGTAGAGTCAATCAGCACTAATTATCTCTTGCATAATTATACACATTAATGTTATTTGAGGGTTTCTTTTTGCAATTAAACCTGATTAAACCACAAACGGTATTTTGAGCTCATTGGAAATTATATTGTTGATGTATTTGGTGGTTTTTTAAAATACAAATTTTGAAACTAGCATAGAATCAGACATCTATATATGTTTAAACACTTAGTTTAAAAAGACAAACATTTTACATACCTTTTTATATCTGAATCAAATTTTTTCCAATTCTATTAAGCTTACAGTCTCACAGAATTCATTGTTTGATTTAATTTCATTGAAACAGATATTAAAAGGTGTCATGTTTTGTATTTATGTTTTATAAAATCAAAAATACAAATTATTATCTAGATCTGAAGTCATGATTAAACCATTTTAATATATTTATAATTATAACTAAATAGTAATATCTTGATATATCCACTTTATTTCTAGCTTTTTTGAGAACTTACTTGGCAGCTTTTTATTGGAAAGAAACTTTGTTATGTAGAATGTAGTTGGCTGACACTTGCCTAGCAGTTGACAAATAACTTTAATATTCTTATTGTTGTGTTCTGATCTGATATGTGTTGAATTTTCATATTGTTATTGTGTAAATATTGTTTTAAATTTTAGTTTTCTCGGTGAACTATTATGCTTCCAACTAAGTGGTGTTATCTTTTCAAGTTCAGAAAAGAGAAAAATTGTTTTGTGAAGTACAAACATTTCATTTCTTATTACAACGATCAAATATTATTTTTTCATTTATTTTATTCAAGTCAAAACCTTGTCCACTATTGAAAGTAATAACTTGTAAAGACACTTTAACCTAAAGTTGTCAATGTGTGCCATTCTCTTCATTGTGCTATTTTGTGAATTTATGTCTTCATTTCAATGTTTATTTTGTCTTCCAATTAGTCTTCAGATATACCATCGTGTCCAAACCATGCCCCCCATTCGTCATACTTTCATCGAGACGGTGATAACACAAGTGGGAAAAATTGCGTATTCATAGATAAATATTATCCAATCAAAATTGGCCCTAATGTATTGGTTGCAAATTTCAGCCAATCACAAACAAAACGAAAGAAGCGTATACCATTACATATTTGTACTGTAGAGAATTGAGTATGATTTTTAGATTTGAAGCCGAGAGAAAATCAGACCTTACTTAGGAATATTTACATAGAAAGAATGTGTTATCTCTTTAAACAGGCGGCGGCAAAGCGGTGTTGTATTTTGTTTACTTGACATCATTTCCGTTCTACCGATCTGATTGGTCAGATTCAAATGCCACCAATCTCATTTCCAGGCCCACAAAACGAGTGTAGTGGACTTAGATTAATACGGGTTAATAAGACCATGCCAAAACCTGTATTCGTGATACCATGCAAATAACCTAATGTAGTATTAGAGATTATAGAACAATTAATGCTGAGAAACATATAGAAAGTACCGAGTAAAGCATGTGTGACTTCGACCACAAGCTCTATGAAGAACTGAAAAAATTCAGAACTGGGCATGTAATAATTTTGTATCTGCATTTTACAATATAGTCATTTTTAGTAGTAAACCTTACCTATCTCCTGATGTTTTATTTGATTAAGATATGTTATATTAGTGGTTAGCCATGCTAGTCTAATAGCTAATGATACTCTACCTTTAAAAATCTATATTATATATATATATATATAATTAATTTATCAAAAGGTATTTCAGTCATGATTCCAAACTTTAACACATTTAGTCCACTTGATTTTTTAGGCACGTTTAGTCTTGCCTGTATATTACAAACCTTTCTCAAATTTGAGAAATTAAATCATGTTTCCAAAGTTCCTTCTTCAATTTGCACTTAAATCATAGATTGTTTACATTCAAAACAAATATTAAGTCTCACCCTTGAGATGATGTGTTGAATATCTTAGTTATAAATTGACTTATTAGAAAAAACAGTTTCTTTGGGAAATAGAGATATTTTCATTGTGAGAATTGTAAATGAAAATAAACTTTAAATTTTTTTGTGAAACCAAGAATTGTAGCTGGCCTAACAGAGAAACCACTATAGAAAACCTACAGATGTAAATGTTTTTATTTATTAAGTTGTGTAGAATATTTTTTTGATATTTGTTATGGAGTATGTGTATTTATATTATTATTAAGTCTATTGTATTAATATATACCACACACATCAATATATATTGTAATCATTATCATCATCATTACTTGTTTTTCTTTCTAATAATTCCTCAGAGAGAGGAAGACTCTAAAGTAAAAGGAAGTAATGCCAAAATCCAGGCATAATTGGCCTCATTGCTTACTGCAGGGAATTGACAGGGTTTGAGTCAAACCATGTGCAGTCTTTTACAGTTTCATGGTCTCCAGCTCTTACAAAGTCTACAAAATTTGGTAGACAAATGAAAAATCTTTGTCATTTCATAACATAAATTACATCATCCATTGCCAATATTGACTGAAAATGGGCTGAAAACTTCTCTTTCATGGAAATGTGTGATGGTAAAATTCATCTGAAAGTATCATTAAATAACTTAAACAATTCCAAACTTAATGATGTAAAATATGATTAATTCTGGTCAGTGGGATTGGAGAAGTAGGCTTTAAAGCCTGTAAAGTGGTGATTTTATGCAGTGACATAATGTTACCTTTTCAAGGTTTTCATTATTAGCCTCGTTCTGGATTCAATATGGCCGAGGAGTGATGAAGTGTCAATTGGTTCTATGGCATAGGTGAAAGTAAAAAAAAAAAAAGTCTCATGTTTATTTATAAATCACTTTTACAGTAAAGAATTACAAAAGGAGGCTCATTACTAAAAATTAACATTTATAGAAAACAAAAAAACGGGAAACTTTGGTGGAGATTCAAATATATCAATGTTGACATTGCTGACAGCCTTGCACTATCAGTTACAGAATCTAATTACTATGCAATATGGCACAAATCTGAACTTATATCCTGTTACTAATTGACATTTTATAATGATGAAAATCTATAAACCACTTTTTAATTTGTAAAATATGAAGAACCTGCATGTTGTAATTTTAGTTGAATGACACATCTAAATATTGTGTATAATTTGAAACATTAAGAGGAATCAATGTGTTGACCTGACCCTAGGTTAAAGATAGCTTGCCAGGCAAGGTAACATACCCCACTGGCAGCTGTCAGAAATGTTAAAAAGTGTAGTCTATTGTGTTCACAAGAACTGTTGACAGACTGATGGCAATATACATCCACATTTCTATGTGGGTGTATAAAAATAACACAAATGATCAAATAAATGAGATTACTATAATAAAATTGAATGGTGTGCAAAAGCACTTTTGAAAATATCTGAATTTAGGAAATGGGTCTGGCACTTCAACTAAGATACTTTTGCACTGAATTAGAGCATAATTATATTAGCACCATTGGAATGGAATAAAGAAGTACCATATAATATAATACTGTCAAGGCAACAATATCTCAAACAATCACTACACCACAGTTTAATCAACACTGACACTAATTTCACCAATTAGTCATCATAATTCTTCTTTCTTTTGTCTAATATCATTTTCAGATTTTTCACTTTTCACCGCAGAGCTATCTTTTTTATGAGTCTGATTTTCCTAAAATGTGAGCATCTTGTAAATGAAACATAATCTTTTCAATGATCCCAGTACAGATGTGTTAAGCATTGCCACCAAAACGTATTGTATTTGATTGCACATCAATGCAGCATTTGCTGTGTTCATACACAGTTCACACAGAAGGAGATGTGCACCAAACTGAAGGAATAACTTTGTCTTGCTCATAAATATGCCATTGTCAGGATTGCTATAGGAAAATCTATGCTCCTCATTTAACATTTTTTCTTTCTGATCACAATGACAGATAAAAATATAATGAATTCATATCTAAATGTAAAGCTATTTTCATTTGATTTTTTTAAATTCATGACTAACACTTGCTGACTAAGGCATATCAACATAATGTAAAATATCTCACCTCCTTAGCACCTCTACCAGGAAAGTTTTGATTTTCTATTGTGACCTCTAAACATCTGTCTTGTTCTATTAAAAAATCTTTTATTTCCCATGCTTTAGAACCATCTTTTAACATAAAAATAACTCTGTTGGCACCTACTACATATCTAAAAAAATAAAAGATAGTAGATCACAGCCATATATGCCCACCACGGCATGCGAATGGTAAAAACAAAACATCCATTCTAAGTTTCATAAAAATCGGTTCAAAACTAAGATAGCATATTCAAGATTTTGGGGCAAGGGCAATAACTCTGCTTCTAACGGTCTAAAATTCAAGCTTGATCTTCGATTTATGAATATGTATGCACATACCAAATTTCATTTGATTCCATCAAACACTCTAGTTTTTAGAGTGTTTACAAGCAATTGATGTTGATAGAAGCACTTACTGTAGAGAGGTTAGAGGGCGAAAATCTAGTTTTAAGAGCGTTTACAAGCAAATGTTGACGTACGGACGGACCAACAGGGGTGCCGACAATATAAGTCCACATAGAGAGCTGTGGGCATATAAAAACCAAATTTCAGTCCAAACCCAGTACACATATATAGTCCTGATCATGTATTCTAGAAAGGATATCCTAGAAACAATGTAAGAAGTTCAGACCTTGGTAAATACTAGAAGTTAGATAGTTTTGAGAATACACCGCCTTATTTCATGTTTTACAAGTGAAGCTTTAAGCCTTCCATGAAGTATATATAGAGTTCATTAAGAAAATTCTCAGACTGGCTTTGAAAAACTTTGATGAAAATTTAACAACATAAAGAGCACCAAACAAATATTGATTGCCATAAGTAGAATTACATAGAATTGATGATTTGTTTATTAATGGATAAGCTAAAGCATAATTAAATTGATCAAACTGCCAAATATTAGTACTAGTTACCTCTGAGTCTCAATATTAGCATTAAATAAACTGCCTTGCCATAGTTGTGTTATGGTCTCTGTTTCCTTTTCAGTTGGGTTTCCTAAAAAAAATTTGATTTGAGTTAATTAAGATAGCAGGTATATATTTTGGGGATAGAAATTTCATTTTTCCACCTGAATTAGGCTCAATAATTAGAAATAGACATGATTAATGTTATTTTTAAAACATTGGACTACCTGAAACAGAAGCAAACATCATCAGTGTTTTTCCTTTTTTACTCATTTTTAACATGCCCTCAGGATTAGATGTATCCATTTTAGACATGTCAATTTTTGGTGGTTCTCTTTTCCATTCAGGTTTTTCATCTTCTTCCAATTCATCTTCATCTGCGTCCTAAAAGAATAATAAAGCTAGAGCCTACTTCATTTTTATCATAACTTCACAAAAATGATGAAGAGTGGTCAAAACTGACACAATAGTACATGAACAAGACCATGGCCCAAGCTTGCATCTATGCACTTTCACAGAGCTTCTGCATTTTGAATCTCAACCTTGACACCAACCACAGTTAATTGTCCACCAGTCATTTGCTCCTCTTTGTACAACTACTCCCACTGCATGGTCCACAAAAACTTTGTCAATAAATTGAAACATGATATTTCTTTTTCACTCAAATTTTTCATTTTAACCAAAAAGACTACAAGTGACATGTGCCACGCCCCTTTTTAGTCTAAAACTAAACAACAAACCTCCCACTGCTCATATAATCTTTCCATATCAGCCTCATTATAATCTTGAAGTTTCTTCTGCTTCCATTTCTCTTTTCCTCCTTTTTCACCTGTTTTCTGTTCTTCAGCGACTATTATGAAAATCAGCTGGAATATAATAAGTGTCTTCATTAGTGACATCATTTAGTTTTCAAGCTAAATCAACGTGCTCTATTCATTAAACGACACGACAACAAGCCTTTATTATCCAGAAATAAATTTGGAGAAGCCGCTAAAGGGATGTAAATCGGCTGGACAAACCTGTAAAGTAAAGTGTGGACTTGTATAGACAAATCTACAAACACGATTTTTTGTTGATAAATAAGTTTGGCAGCTAGTGCCAAGTACAAGTTTCATATAATTTGAGACGACTAAGCAAATTTTTTTTATCTAAAATTTATTACTGCGATTCGTTAAATATGGATGGCTATAATCCAAAATCCATTTTGGACCCAAAGGGCAGATAACTCATAAAAAAACTTAGGGTTTTCATTCCATGGTGAAGAAGTAAACGTGTAAAATGGCTGGGTTATTAGATTTTGATTTCCTGGACGAAGTCCGGCGAATGAATAAAAGACAGGTGTATATTTTATTACTTGTCATATTCATGATCAAATTATTCTTGAGTTTTTTTTTAAACACAAACCGATTTATTGGCTCCATGATTGGTTAAACATCATGTTCTTATTACGAACCATATGGAAAATATAACTTGAGCTTGGTTGCTTTGTTGAGGTAGCTTTAACTGGGTGTTTTCAGCTTTCAGTTATGATTTTAACTTTTAACAGAGAGGGCATACATATAGTAAATAGGTAGATGGTCCGTATACTTGGAATAAGCTTAGATATGTTAATAGTTTGATTGTCTAAACTCTCCTTAGACAAGATTAGGCCTAATACTAATGGTCAAATTTTGAAGTTATTGTGTGTTGACATTGACCAAATTTGCACTGGAAATGGAAATGTGGACTTATATTGCCGTCGCCCCTGTCCAACGGTCAGTTGGTCCGTCAACATTTTTTGTGAACACAATAGAGACTACAGTTTTTATCTGATTTTAATGAAACTTGATTTGATAATGTATATTGATGAGATCTTCGTCAAGTTCGAATTTGATGACTTTTCTATGAACGTTTTTGAGTTAATGCCCTTGACTTAGGAAATACTTGTCAAATTTTGTGTGTGAACGCAATAGAGACCACAGTTATCAACTGATTTTATTGAAATTTGGTGTGATCATTTATATTGATGTAATCTTTGACAATTTGAACTTGATGATTTTGCAATAAACAGTTTTTGAGTTATAGCCCTTGACTTAGATAAAATGCTGACATTGACACCAATAGACTTCTGATACAGAATAATGCTGGACTGTGAATTTGAGTAAAAAAAACTCAGTCCATGGATTTACTAGCATGTTATTCCAAACTATTCATATTTATAGTTTTGTCTGAAAAATTTTCTGTTACAGCTCTACTATCAAGCTCTGAACTTTGGTATGATAGTTTCCTCAGCTTTAATGATATGGAAAGGTTTAATGGTGGTAACAGGAAGTGAAAGTCCCATTGTAGTTGTTTTGAGGTAAGCTTACACATACAATCATTGTATATTGATTTCTCTACGTTTTGGGTGGGAAAGCTAATGATGAGATGATGTCGATGTACAGCTCACAATTTATATTACTGATAAATTTATATCTAATTCTTTTGTTATTGGTTTCAGTGGAAGTATGGAGCCTGCTTTTTACAGAGGTGATCTTCTACTCTTGACAAATCATCCAGAAGAACCTATTAGAGTTGGTGAAATTGTTGTTTTTAAAATTGAAGGAAGAGATATTCCTATTGTACATAGAGTACTAAAGATACATGAAAAGTATGTTTGTCATAATAATATTGCCAAATATTGTCTGAGAGTGATACACATTGATAGCAGCATGGTTGAACAATTTGGACTATTTTGTTTTAAGTCATGTTAAGATCTGAGAGGCAACAGGAATATCCAAAATTATCTTTGAAAGTTTAAAAATTTACAGTTTGAAAATCACTATATTAAACTTCAGAACCACTGTAAAGATTTAGTTTGTACTGCTGATTGCTACCCCTCCCCAATGGATAAATATAACAAAAAGTTTATGTTGTATATTATGTTTTAATTGTAGAGAAGATGGTTCACTTAAATTTTTAACTAAAGGTGACAATAATTCAGTTGATGATAGAGGTTTATATGCACAAGGACAGTTCTGGTTAGAAAAGAAAGATGTTGTTGGTAGAGCACGAGGGTTAGTATATGTACTGACAATTTTTTAATTATTATTTAGTATAGTAAGAAAGGTTTGAGATCTAAACTCACTGTAATCTCAAACTTGCAAAACGTACAATTTAATTTGTGAATTAGTAACTGATTGCAGGGCGTTCAGAAGCGTTCGTATTGATTTTTTTTTTTTTTTTTTTTTTCGTCCAGCGCAGGCCGGTTTTCTCGGAAACAGCAACAGGTACGGGAAAACGGACTTCGTGGCGTTTCGTAACTCGTGGCTAATCCCAGCTTAAATGTAAAACGAAAACTTTCTTAGCAACGTTGGCAACAAACGGAAAATGGACTCTAGAGGGCGTGTTTATCAACCGATTTTGATGGGGTTGTCTTCATCGTAATTCTTGTAACAAAGGACATATGATAGCAGTTGAAAATTTTCAATTTTCGAAAATTCGTTCTAATTTTTTTTTTGCCGAAATTATCGTAAAATACTATTTCGGTTATTATTTGGCGGATTGACTTGAAACTTACATGGTGTAGACTGACAGCATAGTGGAATAAAAGCACACATTCAAAAGTTTTTTATCACTTGCGGTTTCGATGTTAGTACTTCCGGTGGTATCACTTCCGGTGAAATTGAGTTATCTCAAAAATAACATATGCATTATATTACCAGCCTTAATACAAACTTATTAAATTTAAAAAATTTGCACGGAAAGTAACATTTGCCTCATTTTGCAGAAATTGCTATTCAGAGGCCATCTTTCATCTGAGTTGCGTAATTTTTGTGTCATACGATACGTTTAATGTCTATCTACTATCCTTAGGAAGCATAATTTTGATTTTCGGTTGTGCCTTTTTTGTACAACCTGATGTTTTTTTCCAAAGTTTGAAGGCTTATAACTCATGACCTTGATCTTTGATGACCTTTATCTTGACCATGGTGATAAAGGCTGTCCTTGACCTTCTCATGACCTTTTGACCTTTGGGGTCAAACAACAAATTCTGATTTTATAGGGGTCTAAATATGGTCAATTTGGCATTTTTGCAGTGCTGTATCTCAAACCTCAATTGATTTAGCGACATACTACTTTCAGATTATTAATGCACTTTATAAATGGATTCAATTTATATGGCATTTGATCGTGTCAAAGTCACATTAAAGGAAATGTTGCAATTTCCTTCAAACTTTGAACGCTTCTACCAAAGGAACTTGGCCTAGGATGACGTTGATATTTACATTAATAATTACTATTGACTTCAGCTTTTACATTATGTTAATTTTTTTTATGTCCGACACGTAGTTTCGGTTTTATGGGTGTCACTGAAAGTTGAGTCTGCATCTTTAAAGTGTCCTAACATGTGCCCTATTAGAGGTAGAGAAATAATTCTGTCGGATTCAAAATGCTGAGATCTTGAGCTTTCCAGTGATATATAACATGCATGCCTTACATGCAAATTCGAAAACCCATTCACTTAACATGGGACTATTATTAGATAAATCGGCTAATTAGATTAACCTGGCTGTCATCCCCAATATAAATCAAAGTTTAAGTAATTTTAAAGACACCCTCCCTTTTATATTTCTTTAAAATGTTTTGTGTCCAGTCAAGGTATATAAATAGGTTCTAGGATGGATTGAACCGTGTTATACAGTAAGTTAAGCTTACGAAAGCACATTAAAGGCATACCCCCACTTAATTTCTTAAATTTCTTATTTTTTATCCAAATTTCACCAAACTTGGTATGTATTTGTATAATCCAATTCTAAATTTGATGGAATTATCGAATTTGCGTAGTGCGCATGCGCATTGCCAACTTTCTTATTTACTATCCGATTTTCATCAAACTTGGTATGTATGTGTATAATGAAATTCTAAATTTGATGGAAATATCGAATTTGAGTAGTGCGCATGCGCATTACCAACTTTCTTATTTCTTATCCGATTTTCACCAAATTTGGTATTTATGTGTATACACAAATTCTAAATTTGATGGAATTATCGAATTTGCGAAGTGCGCATGCGCATTGCCAACTTTCTCATTTCTTATCCAATTTTCTTGAAACTTGGTATGTATGTGTATAATCAAATTCTAAATTTGATGGAATTTTCGAATTTGTGTAGTGCGCATGCGCATTGCCAACTTTCTTATTCATTATCCGATTTTCATCTAACTTGGTATGTATGTGTATAATCAAATTTTAAATTTGATGGAATTATCAAATTTGAGTAGTGCGCATGCGCATTGCCAACTTTCTTATTTCTTTTCCGATTTTCATAATACTTGGTATGTATGTGAATAATCCAATTCTAAATTTGATGGAAATATTGAATTTTTGTTGTGCGCATGCGCATTACCAACTTTCTTATTTCTTAATCGAATTTCACCACACTTGGTATATATGTGTATAATCCAATTCTAAATTTGATGGAAATTTATAATTTTTGTTGTGCGCATGCGCATTACCGACTTTCTTATTTGTTATCCGAATTTCACCAAACTTGGTATGTATGTGTATAATTCAATTCTAAAGTTGATGGAAATATTGAATTTTTGTTGAGCGCATGCACATTACCAACTTTCTTATTTCTTATCTGGATTTCATCAAACTTATTCTTCATTAATTAACAAATATTCTTTTATTCCTAATAAATATACTTTAAACTCAAGGTACTTTTTGATATTTGCATTTAGAGATGCAGAAAAGTATTTACATAAAGTAATTGCAATAGACCATCTTCGTATGTACCTGAATGTCGTAACCCGCCCTGCATCAGTACTGTTATTAGAACAGTTCTAGTTTTTGTAGTCATGATGCTTGTACTTGCACACATCAGCTGAATGTATTGACAACTTTCAGGTTTTCTTTAAGTTTGAATCTTTTTCTTTCAGATTTTTGCCCTATGTGGGCATAGTTACTATATTAATGAATGATTATCCTAAGTTCAAGGTATGTATAATTTTATAATGAATCAGATATGTACTATACAGACATTTTAACTAATATAATATTCTTTTGTATCTTTTAAATTACATCACATGGATGTAACAAAATATTTGTCTGTGGACTATTTTGTTGCCACCCATGCAGTTACTTTCAATCAGTCTATTGCTGTTACTAAATGAGATCACATATATTACATTTTATTTTTTGATGTCCAATGTAATAAATTATTTTTTTCATCTGTTTCAGTATCTGGTATTAGCCTGTCTTGGTATATATGTTTTAATACATAGAGAATAACATTAAATATCATATTTCTTAAACTCACTTCATTTGTTATTGTGTCATTTGTTGTAAATGGTACTGGGTGAAACTGAAATTAATCTTCTAAATAATTGATTTGTTTTACATGTCTGGGAACGTATGTGGTAAGGCATATATTGTGATGAGTGAAGTCATCGAACACTTAATTTCAGTTGAATTGCAGGAATCACAGACGTCTGATTGAAAATTGGAATTGTGCAAATGGATGCTATCTGTGTCCCCAATACACCTAAAATATTGTGAAAACTTCTTTACAATCCCTTGATTTCAATTATTAGGCTTTATAAGGGAAGAAGTAATTTTCTAAATGGTTTTGTTGGGCGGAAACATTGTAATTTAAATACATGTGGTTGTAGGTGAAAAAAAAAAATATACCACAGGTTATAACTGTTTTATGAATCAAAAATTTAGTAATGAAATTTGAAAAATGTCAATAAAAATCAAATTTGTATTGTCATTATTTATGAATATTTTGTTAGTTATTCTTGTGGATATACATGTATAAGGTAAAAATTGTACAATATGGCCTTCTATTAACTGAAGAAAATTGAATGTGTTTCACATCTTATAGTGCGTTACTGTATTTCTTAATATATTTGCCTCATATTTCTCTTAATATTAACCTGTATTATAGATGTGTCTAAATAAACAATAAAATTCTTTGTTATTTAAAGTCTTAATGAGGCTTATTACTTGCATTGAAACCCAGATAAAGATTTGTGAGCCAATGTCAGGGATTGTCATTGCTGTACATAATATTTACATTACTAGAAATGTATGAAAATCACATAAATCCTTCAAAAATATCTCAAACTAGGAATTTCTTCTCCTATTTCTACATATGGCAGTGTCTCAAAAAAGATGCCTCATCTTTTCAACTTTCATATTTTGAATACATATGGATTTGAAAAATTCACATTTCTGAGACTAATGTATGCTCGGTCAAGAAATTGGCCAATCTATTCCTTTCAATGTCACTCTTAAAGCTGTTAGCTTTTAAATAAAGTCCAGACAGTAACAGAGCAACTGATGAGCCCTATGACTGTATATTTATCTGATTGAATAATGTGATGCATACTCAGCCATTTGTCATAAAATCCTTATATGGAAAAGTATATATAACTCATCCAAATGATAATAAAGTATTTAATCTAATAAAATAATATTATGCAATATGGTGTACAAATATGTACAATTGTCTGTCTATGAATGAATAATAAAAAATTTCTAACAAACCAAGATGAAATAATGATAAACAAATTTACATCCAATAGAAAAAAACACCAGTTTGAGTATTTATGGAATTTTTGAGATTCAGCTTCATAATTGAGTGAATTGAACCATTAGAGTAGTCACTAACAATCACACTTATTTAGGTACTTATTAATGTTCTTATATTAGAAATATTAAATGAGAACCTGTAACATGTTTTTTTTCTGAGTTTCATGCTGATGATCTTCAAGCAACTGACTTATTTTAGCCTTTACGTCTCTACTGAAGTTTGACAAGTAGTATTTGATTTTGTGTTCTAGACAAGTTCAGATCAGGGCTGTTGATTTATTTTTTTGTCAACCAGACATTGGACATTTTACAACAACCTGTGAATTTTGATCTCAATTTCCCTGAGAGGTCTATTATATAGGCCCTATACCAGTATGGCATGATGTTTGGCAAAGGAGAGGTCAACTGTGTCATTTAACCAAAAGTTCTACTTTATCACTGATTATATTTACTCTGCAAGGCTAATAAAGAATTTTGAAATAATAGTGGGTCACTTTGTCCTTAGCACCTGCTGTTCTCTGCATTTTGCTCCAGATTTATAAATTATTATTTGAACTAAAAGCATTTTACCACTTGCCTTTCTGAACTTCAGATTGTTTGTTTAAACAGCATGTTTCAGGTTATTTTTTAATATTTCTATATCTCTCTACAATTGATAGGAATGGTGCTATATAATATGTGGTTCTGCTTAAAGTTTGATCCAAAAAAAAACACATATGGTTATAAATTTCACAAACTTTTGTAGTATAGCATGAAATACATCAGATCCTGCTGTCAAATATTCAATTATTGATCAGCTTTAAACTGAGAGTCTTGCATTAACAATTGAAATAATCACATTCCCTTCTGAGCAATTTCAAATGTTTTTTTACTTTGGCTGAAAACAACGTGTAACATAATTGGGTATTTATTAATGCAATTCCAGTTAACGTTTATCTATCCATGAAAATAATCAGAATAGTTGAATAGTAGGCATTTTTATTTGCGATTTCAATGTGATATTCAAATTTATTCTACTTATAGATAAGTCGTTATCTGACCTGTAATAGTTGATTTGACAGTCTGATAGGAGAAAAGCACTGGATAATGAGGCTTTCCTGTTTCACTACCTACTTTTACAAAGTTAATCGGATAGATATAAGACATAATGAAAAAAAGGATAACCAAGAAAAAGTTTAACATTGTCCAAACCTAAGTAGGCTTTATTTTATTTATTGGTAATGAATATAGTAAATCAAAAATAGCACTTTGGACAAAAACAATTAACCTGTAATCAAATGTAGAGAGCTATTTTGTCTGGCATAATCAAAATAGTATTAGTATATGTGAGATGCAACCTACCAAAGTTTTACTTTGAATCTGTCCCTTGATCCAGCAAGACCATAACCTAAAATTGATTGGTCAAAGATTTAGTTCTTGAAAAACAAAAGATTTGATACTGTAAAATAATGTGTGAAAGAGATTAGATGAGTGCCATTTCAAGCTGTCCTAAAGTGCACACTAGGTGGTCAAATTAAATAATAAAATTGGGACAACAAAGGGTTAGTCATAGGAGACGAGAATATTGTCTTATACCAACTCACCACCCTTGTAATAATTTTATTAAATCACTGTTTCCATTTCATCAGGATCACTGGATTCTCCTTCTAATAACACTTTAGGCTGTTCATTATCAAAATTAATCACATAATTGGCTCTATAGGGTGGTGAGAAGGCAGCAGGTTGATTGTCAATGTTAGCACGATATTGTTCAGGAGATGGTTCAATTATCTGTTGATGAACCGAAGTGGGTTTATTACGGCTAGATTCAGAATAGCTGCAACCAGTCTGAGTTTCTAACAGAGGACGGTTTGATTCTGTGGTATAGACAAATTTAGGTCTGTGTTTATTGCCCTGATTATAAGTATGATGTGGTAAGGAGTGATTAGAATGATGTGACAGGGATGAGGATTGAGATGAGCTATCTCTAGAGGTAGTGGTACAGTCACTATAACATGGCGGTGGAGAGTATGGAGGGGGTTTCTCTTCATCTATTTTCCTCTCCATGGCAGAGTATAGCTGGTAATTATGGCGAGTGACAGGATCAATATACCCCACAATACCTGTACCAGCTTCACTAGAACGCTGTACCACCTGGAACGCTGAACACCTCTCTACAGTGTTCTGGTAAAGATTTGGTTGGTTTATAACAGGCACTGAATTGCTGTCAGGAATTCTTTGAAAAGCTGCTTTAGGGTTCATTTTCTTTACAGGTTGAGCATAAATACCTTCTGATGATTGTCTCCCTTCATTAATATTATGATATTCTGGTTGATTTAAATGATTGGGTTGAGATTGAGCATGGTTGATTAGTGAGCTATGTTTATTAACTTGACCGTACAAATCTTCAGGATTCGGGTCCGGGTTATCTATGGCTTTGATATAACTTTTTGGTCGTCCTGGATTAGGAATGATATTTTGTTGAACTGGAATATTTATAGGTAGATCACTGGATGTGTTTTTACGATGAGATCTACGAGCACGGTTTGGTGGAATGTCTGAAAATTCAGATTCTTCACTATCAGTTGGTATTTTAGGTTTGATCTTTTTCTTCTTCTGAATTTTGACTTCTGATTGATTGGCATAAATTCTGTCATCTTCATCTCCACTCATATAACTTCTCATATCATCTATTTCTTCATAGTGAGGTATATGACTACTCTTTCTTTTCTCCTTTGATAACTTAGCCTTAGTTGATTGAGATCTTTCCCAAGGAGGAAAATTATTTTCATAAAACTCATTCAAGTTAGCTGTCTGCAAATTCTCATACATTTGCTGCTTCTTAGTTTTATATGGTTGAGGGGTATGTGAGCGAATTTTACGCACATCTGACTCAGATGGCTTAGGCCTTGAATGGTATGGCTGTGGAGTAAACGATCGCCGTAATTGTTCATCAAGTTTTCTAGCACTTAATTCCACCTGAGATTTAGAATGTTCATTTTCTTTGAGATATCTCATTTGTAAACTTAATATAACCATTAACTGTTTTGAGTCTAAATTATGAAGAGTTACTGCCCTTTGACCTCTGCGTCTGTGCTCCTTTAATTTCCCTTTTGTGACTTTTTCCTTTGGTGTTGTATTGTCAACCACATCTAAGTTGTTAGATTCAGTTTTTGGAGCTTTAAGACTATGACTACGCTGTAAACTTGATCTGAGTCTATTAGCACTAGTGTCAGATTCAATTCTGTCTAAATCACTGTATGATGGTAGAACTGGTCGCACTAAATTTGGATTATGTTCATTCTCACTATCTGATGAATCTGGTGTGTTGGAATTGCTTATAGTAAAGATCTCATCATATGTACTGTTCTGAAATGATAAATAATAAAATTTTAATAGATAAAAAAGAAAAAATTCTTTCTGGAAAATTGAGTTTGACATACAAGGTAACAATATACAACACCAGCAGAAAAATATTTTCATCTTTAAGTATATCACCACAGATTTCAGACAGGAAATTAGAAGGGCACAAAAAGTGGATACATGTGATTTTGATATACTGCTATAATAATAGACCATAAAGAAAGACAAACACTGAAAACTAGATACAAGATTATTGTTGAATATTGTTAATGGATTGATAAAGTAAAGGAGTATATGATTGTACGGTCATAAAATGGGTTGTCCGTGGATGGAAGTGAAATTGGTTGAAAATTGGAAGATGAGAACCTTTACTGGTGGTCACCCTGAAATTCAGGGCCTGAATACGCTGTTGGTACAAATTTGAATTATATCAATGACAGAACTATGTCAAGTACAGTTATTCAGAAACCACTCAACTGTCTTGCCCTGCCCAGTGACTACTTAACTTTTTATAAAACAATAACATAGAACATTCATAAAAATTGGTTATTCATATTAGTTTTCTACTCCTATTAGATACAAAATCAAAAAGTGCCATCTAAACCTATACTGAGATAGAACCTGGAAACCCCTAAGAGTCTAACTAAGTTAGCCACCATAGTCCTATATAAATATTTGATAAGATAAATTTAGCTTAAAGCAATGAATAAGATTATAAATGATTGATAAAGAAATAATAAATTTCTTTTTTTACTTTTTATCTTCACTTCAAAAGTGACTTATTGATTGTTGTTATTGATTGATAGTGATTGATATGGTCACTATAATAAAATATAATCTTGGGACTAATTGTTCTGGTTTTGTAATATGATCACACCATGTTTCATATATGTTTTACAACTCTCTCATAACATACATAAATTTTTTATAATTTTACATAGTGAAAGAATGGCCTGGAAAATTTTGTGGTTCCCAATAACTGTTTCCCAGAAACGCCACTGTGTGAACAGATATTCAATTGATGTTTATCAAGCAGTTAAAATCATGTTACATTTATATATGAATAATCCTGAAGTCTCTCTAGAAAAGTTAAATACCATGACAATGAAATGTATTGTTTTTGATAAACAAAAATAATTGTAGTTATAGTAAAATAGTTATCCTATTGTTGTAATTATTGTATCAAACAATGACAGTTGCTGTGATGTTTACTAACATGTCTGTCATAAACTTTAGAACATTTAACCTTTGATAGGTCAATATATTTTGATGGACAAATACCACAAATAATTTTGTCCAAATTCTAAAATGGTATCTTTCATATTTCATGTACAAAAAGGGCTTTTGAAATGTAATTAATATTATAAAGGGTTAAATTCATCATCTAAACTAGTCGAAGTTGTCTTCCTCAAAAAGTTTTTCAAACTCTATAACTGAATATTATTCATTCAGTAGCTTTACAAATTCTTACAACATATATTCTCGTGCTTTCACCCCTTACATTTGGCATTTAAGATAGAGTAATAGCCTTTAAAAAGATATATGACTGATGGAAATTCCACCCCATGCCTTTGCACAGCAGAATATCATATCCTATAAAACTGCTTGGTGTGTGTCCAAAATCAACAACATCCCCAACTGAGTCTGCCAAGAACAAATATGTGGGTGTTCAATGTTAAACTATTAACACAATACTATTAGACATTCATGGCAATAATTATATGTTTGTCATTACCTATAGTTTTTCTTAAAAATAGAGATTCTAGTGGTTGCTAGCAATATAAGTCCACATATAAAGATGTTGGAATATATAAATACTATGATATATTTCTATGTCATGAGTTAATTTTGACCATGTCAATTTTCACACTTAAAATAAAATTTGACAGTAAAATATAGTTTAAGTTGTTACTGGGTATATGCCTACATTTGTTTATAGATTGGAAAGTGATAAAATTTATTGCCATGCAATGAGCAGAAGTTTAAAGATAAGTGAAAGGTACCTGATATCCTAGTTTTCTGCGTCTTTCCATTCTGAGCACCATTAAAGCTAGTATAGCTGATATTATACAAGCTATTGCTGAGACAACACATAAACCACATAATGTATATAATATCTGTATTAATATTACTTCTATATCATTACAATTTGATGTATCTTGAAATATTAATGTTACTGGTTCTGAAATATATACAATTAGAATAAAATAATGGCTTACTAGAAATTAAAATGAGATTTTCTCTCAACATAGTTGCTAGGAGCAGCAGAAAATTAGTGAAACTACAGCATTGATTCGAAACCAAAAATTGTTGATTTGGTAAAATGAGATTGTTTTGTAATTCATTATCTTTTAAACTGATTGTTTGGTTAAATAAGCCAACATGTTACTTGTGTAATTTCTTTTTCCCATTATAAACACATAAATATATGAAAAAAACAACTTACCTTCAATGGAATAGTCAAGTTGAACAAAAGAACGACTATATGGAGATAAACAATGACATTGTTTTTGTGGAGAAAGGAATGTACAATGTAAAAGTTGATTTATTGGTGGTATTATTAATGTACCAGTTAATATAGCTGATATACCATTTAAAAAAGCAGCACCAACATTTACAAATACACAAGAAAATACCTGCAAAAATAAACCATAATTATAAATTTTTTAAACATGTTTAAGAAGCCCTATTTTTATATTTTGGTTGAGGTAATTAGATTTTAAGTAAGATTAATTATAAGGAAACAGCCTAAACTATTTCAATAAATTTTGAAATGTGCATATGTTTATCCTACAGAAAAATATTTTAGTCTAGTGGGTTCCTTTACCACTTATAAAAGAATATGACAGTACCCATACAGTTACAAGATAAAAAAAGAAGGAAACTACACGTTGGAATTCATTTCTGAAAAGTGATAAAAATATGTGAAATTGAACACTTTGTGCTGGCATAGCAAATATCTAGGCAAATACCCCCTTTAGGATACAGTTGTGTGTTCAAGACATGTTTTAAAGATGATGTATCACTTACCAAGATTACATTCCTCTTCCAAAATAAGACTAGAACCATAATACCAGCAATAATTACCTGAAATATACAGGATAAATAAAATGAGGTACAAACTATGACATCTTATTGCTCTTCCAATACAACTTAAATGAGTACTGCTTGTATTTTGGGTAACTATTAAATATGAACAGTCTGAAGAAAAAATTGTGTCAAAGTTTTCCACTCTGTTTGCTATTTCAATGAGGTTAGAAGATTTGGTCAGCAGTAAAACCACTCACAAGACAAATGATACCAAATAAGGTTTTGTTTCAGGGTATGAAATATTATGAAAAATGCAATATGCATAAAATATCAAAATTAGCACAAAGCGCAGATGTGAAGCATTTTTGATGAAAATCTAAAGTTAAATCATTAGTATTGACACAAATTCCTAACTTTTGAGAATTCTAAAGTAATCTGATATGAACAATACAAGATGGTAAAAATACAAGTTGTTTCTATATATATATATATATATATTATATATACCAATAATAATATCATTTAATAACAACCACCTGCAGTTTCCTTTTACATTTATTACATATATTATATTAAAGTTAGAATGTCAACTGTAGAATATATGAATTTAAATCGTTATTATCCAAAATTATGCCACAATTGTTTAAGGTTTCAAACAGACATACAAAATATAGTCTAAATTGATTAAAGAAATTATATAATCTTTATAATTACTATATGATAACTTTCACTACACTCATGAGATTTTTTCCTCCATAACAAATATTGGTATTAGAAAGCTATCATCATTTTTGGAAAGGTTGGATTTGAAGCTATCATCATTTTTGGAAAGGTTGAATTTTCATTACTTACAACTGTATATTTTCAAGAAATGTTTCAGGATAATCCAATGAATCTGTGTTATTTTTGAAAGCAGGAAAGTCAAGTTTACAAATGTTTTTTTTAAGATGTCAATTTCCTACTCTTCTGATAAAAACTTAAATCTCCCACTTTTGACCTTGGCCAGTGCTTCAAAAGCTCTTTTGTTGGGGCTACAATATTAAAGTTATGTTTAGATTGTTACAGGTTTCTTTCCAAACTAACTTGATATCCCTGCCAAAATAATAAATTCATAGTGTATGTAGACTGATTCAACTAAATGAATTGGATCTGCCAAAAATATTGAGAACCTCACATGATGCATGCTAGCCAAATTCTGTCTACACTCCAGACTGATTCTTTTCTGCACTCATTGCCTTTGAGTTTCAAGAGAATTTTCATCACCAAAAAATAAATAAATCAACAAATTAAAGTGTGAACCACCTCACTTTTTAAACTTTTTAATCAAATTGAAATGTCAGATTTTGCCTTGCAAAAACATTTGCCAAGGCATTTTTCTCACAAAACTCAAGAACCTACATGTCATAAAATCTTTTAAAGGTAATTTTTCTCAAACCTTATCAAGTCTTAGATGATAGCTTAAAGCACAGTTATGCATTTAAAGTGTGGTTTTGTTCGATTTATTTTGCGATTTTACTGTAGATAACAACCCATCTATACTGTTGAGACTTGTTTCAGATACCAAACCAGTCAATAGCACAAAGGGCATAAAATTCACATGAACATTTTTATTTCAAATTAGAAAATATCAAATCAGATACCAAATTGTAACCCTCAAAATCATATCAAATTCATCAAACTGTAGTTGGTGCTTTCTCAACTGCAGAGATAACATTTGTAAAATTCTTAAACTGTACATTCTAAGAGAAAATATTACATCTTGTTTCATTACAATAACAAGATATTTCAGATAAAAAGTTAATACTTGTAGTTTATACTCTATCTGGTTATATCATTAAAAATAACCAAATATGATTCACATGTTATATATTGTGATAACCTAAACAAAGAAAATGATATTTACACATTTACAAATCTTGTCTGTAGCTTTGAAACAGTTTTTTTTTTTGAATGGGAGCCTTGGAACATTCCATATCTTGATCAGAATTAGTTTCAAATATAAGTAAAACTGTCCTGCTTTTTTCTAAGAAAAAAATCTATTTAGAACCACATCAGTTGAAGTACCAAGTACAAACATCACACAAAATACTTGAATTATATCTATGTATATACATGTATATATCTATTATGTACTAAATTTTGCGTATTTTCAGATGCTGAGAAAATCAGTATCAGAACATAACAGCAACAAATTCCTACTGATCTATTTTTATTTGCCTAAATTTATCTAAGACTATGGTTCATCAAAATTCAATGCATAAAAGTGCTTTAAGCTACTGGCACTGACTTGATAGTCTTCAAGAAAAATTACATTTTTAAAACTAATAAAAAACATTGCCAGTCAGTGAGAGAAATAATCTAATTATATTCACACATATAACTTGTTAATTCAATTACACTCATTCAATCATTGTGTTGATTGACCTCAAATGAGTTTCACCAGATTTTAATGTAGTTGGAGATTCTCAACTTATTAAGTTTGTAAAAGTCATAGATATCAAATTTCACTGTACATTCTGTTCAAATCCAGTCTCAATTCTAAAGTCAAAATTTAAGAAATTTGTATGGACATGTCACTTCTGTCTTCTCTGATAAATTTTGAATTTTTCTGATTATTTGTATATCAGCATCACTGTCACTCTTAAAATGTCTTTATGTTGATAAAAATATAATAGATTTCCCTCACAAGAAGTTTGAAAAAAACTATCAGCAATACCACTAAAAGCAATCGTTTCCTTTGTAAGCTTGAAGGTAGTTTACAACTTATTAATCTAAATTTATCCATCACCATCAAAGAAAATGAAAGTCAAGCAAGTCTCATTATTCAGTATGGAATCTGCTGCCTGGTCTTTACAGTTTAAAAATGTTCAGTGGATATTAGTTCAGAAGAGATATATGTATAATAGTGCATCTCATTAGTGATTTTCATCAAAATCAGCTAGTTGGTACTGTCTTTGATGTGACCTTTTTATTAATGTGGACCCTCTAAAAAGAAGTTAACCCAGTTTCTTTGCAGAAGAAAGAAGGGTATGTGAATATTTCAAGTATCTGTAAACATTTAATATGATAAATATATTTTTGTTTGACCTGACACTTCCTGGTCTAAATCTCAAATTTATAAACTCTGTTCTCATCAGGCATAAGATCTTAACTCAAGCTATAAATATTTATATTTAGATATTCTTATATTAATAACAATCTTACGAGCATGTCAAACCAATTTCCTTATCTTATTTATCAGCAAGTTTCAGTGGGCCAAAACTTTTGTACAAAACTTGGTGTGCATAATTATATTTACTTTTTGGAGCTGTAATTTACTTAAAACCAATGAGCATAGATTGATTAAAATTCTGAAATCAGAAATTCTGAAATTCTACCCTTCTATGTATATGTCTCAGAAGGCAAATTTTACTAACATTTTTACTAATTTCAAGCTACAATTAATACAATTCATATAAAAATTATGTGAAATATATACAATATAAGTAAGAAGACAGTAGTACATTTATATTTAGAAGAAATCATTATCCAAGTACATAATGAGGGTCTTGATCTTTTATCTACTCAGAGCAAATCCCTTTAATCTTTATCAAGGTCCTTGAAGTGTAAAGGATGTTATATCATCAGAATCTCATCTAATGAAATAACATCTAAGTGGGATAGCTTAATCATCTTGATGTTTTAGACCATATTTTCCTAGGTGGTCAAGAAACATTTACAATTCCACATTGTTTTCAAGAATAAGTCCTGAAATCTTCTCTCATATCACTGTAGCACAATACTGAACAAAAAAAGATTTTAATAACTTTTTCTCATTTTCTTTCATTTGTAAAGAATTTGTCTGTTAGCCACCCCAGGGAGAAAATATTTGATTGACAAGTTAACCTTGTGACTAATAATGACCCTCACTAGAAATATAATCAACTTGAGCCTGGCATCTGGAACATGTGATCAAGTCTTGGCAATAGTTAAAAAGAGGTTAAGAGTGGAAGTTGTAGTGATATTCCCACGGTAAGACTTGAATACCACTTTCTCATATCAACAGTTTTAACTGCCATTGGGTTATGTAGCCAATGATAAGAGCAGCTACTTTACACAGTGTGTTATTCTGTTGATAGCATGGAGAAGTTATCATATAACAAGTTCACACTATAAATTAAAACACTTACTTCAATTAATTAATAAAATATATTCCATTTCCTAATTCTCTAATTAAATAATCAAATTGATTAAAGGGACAGTCACACTTAGATGATTTAAAGCAACTATTCAGCAACTATTCAGCAACTATCAACTTTATCCTTGGGTACAACAAACATAATCTAAATCATAAATTTCTCTTTAAAATGAACAGGTTTTAATCCCCCAAATTTTAACAGCTTTTATGATCTAGTTATCAATGAATCAAATGTCAAATTTCCATTGGGAAGAAAATCCAAAATATGGATAAAATGTTATCGCTTTAAATCAAATGAAACTAGTGATGGTTCTATCCTACTGACTTTTACCTTTGATGGAAAATTGAATTTCACTGATTATTTTTAATTCAAGTAACAGCTTCAAAACAGTATTGATAGTATTAGAGTAACTTTGACTTTATAGAAATATCAAGTTTTGTACATTTGCATGTAAACAAATTTCTCTCTGGAGAATTTCAATTGAATATATTCAGAAAATTGCCCTCTGTAAAACCAAATCAAGGGGGCCACACTTATGTAGTACATAGTCTACATGTGTATATGTACTTTTATTTCTTACTTTCTGTCAACCCTGTTAAAAGTTATCATTTTAAACAAATTTGGGTGTAAATATCATTACTATCAAACTAGGACTGTGTGCTTTCATGGGTTGTTCTATTTCCCGATACATAAACATATAAAATAATTTACATTTCATTATATTGTGTGCAATACCTTGTAAGACATATTCTCAAAGATTTGAAATTTTTAATTTATAACTACCAATCTTTGTTAAACCATAGGCAGATCACCATTTCTAGATTTTAACTTCAAATGGTTGCTGTTAATATTGATATTGTGATGCCAAGTTTGATTTGAAATATAAATTGGATCTCATTTTTTATAGTCAGACAATTTGACAAAGGGCAGAAGATGATACATGAAGGAACATTTCATCGATCTTCAACATAATGTCATAGAGATTGGAGAGAGGTTTTCGAGCTTATGGCATGTATAAAAGAGTCTATTTGCATCATTCTGATTACATCATTAGGTGCAGACTGCAGAGGATTAGGACGTAAAACTCTATTTATTTCATTTCTAATTTCCACACTGATATCTGTAATTGCTGTTATTCTCAAAAAACAATTAAAGAGCTGATGATGACACCCTTTCTGTAAAACACTCTTGCTAAATGGTTTTTGAATTATTTTGTCACAACTCTAGAAGTAATAGATGCCTGCAGATCTAAACAACTTCATGCATTTTATAGAAGCAGAATATCTAATATTGCCCCTTTGGTGCATTAGTTATACACTAGCAAGTGTGAAAGCAGTCTGACCTCCTGCACCTGTACACAACCTTCTTTCAAAAGTTGATCCCATTAACAATGAACCTTTACCCTTGAAATTCAATAGTTTCCATTATCAGACTTATAATCCTTTACAATTCATATAAATAGACAGAAGTGTAAAACTGGCAGGTGTTTTTCATTTTTACAGGAATGTGAAAATGATGACCCCTATATATTTAAAACTATTATAGACCTTGTTTTCCCTGTGGGCTCTTGATAATTGGTGAAAAGTGTCAAATTTGTTCTGCATCTAAAAAAAACTGAACATACAGAACAACAAGCAACAACAATAACTTTTTTGTCATGTTACAATGATATGAACATAAGGGGTAACAGTTAACATAAGCCTGAGGGGATACTCTATCTTCGTGTGAAAATATTGATAAAGGAAACTTACTGAAATAAAGTTCACATAATTTGGTATGATTTCTGTATATTTTTCAGATGAGGTTAAAGTTCTTAAGTTGAGATAAATTCCACCAGTTACTAATCCACACACTGATACCACTAAACCCCATACTAAAAATATCCATAATCTTTTCTCATTCCACACTCTTTTCATTCTCTTTCCCTCCTTCATTCCTCCTCGATTTGTCTCTCTATCCACTGTAAGCCTATTACATTGGATAAGTGCATTTCCCTGGAATTTTTTGTCTGGAACTTTTGTCATATTCCCATATTAAAGAAGATAGCTTTGTTAAATCCAACCACGAGGTTCTATTTTACAAGTCCCTCCACGCTCCATTTCATTTTTCACAAAATACCGACACAACCGTTTTCTTTGTGTTGTGAGTTAAATAGGCTACCACTAGATTTCTTTATTCACCCATGAGAAGTTTATAACTTTTAGAATGTATTAATACCAAGCAAGACTAATAGTTACTTGTAATAACACGGTCCTATAATGTTAATATCACATCCAATGCTCACAATCAGACCAATAGAGTGCATAATAAGTACCACAAAGTTTTAAAACATTGAATTACACAGTACTGTTATAAACGTCCGTACCAGTTTCTAATAACACGAGCCCAATCTTATGCCAGCCACGCTCACAGTCAACGGCGCGAGGACAGCGCGAGCTATTCTCGTGCATTGGGGTCTCTACCGTCACGCTTAACGGTTTCTTTTCATTTGAGCCGATTTCAGTTCGTCGGAAGGCAAATAAAGTCTCTATAACTTACCTAACATATTAAATTTGAACCTTGTAGTCATTGTTTGTCTACACAAACATCTGGAATAGAATAAATTAATGCATGACACAAAAACTAAAAATTTTGAGCAAATTTTTCGGCATTCAATATCTTTCTTTCTTGCTGAATTCATTTCTCAAGAGTATTGAAAGGAGTAACAATTTTAGAGTCCGGTGTTCCTTTAAAAAAAATTGTCAGAAATTGTCAGTTCTACGCCCGATTTAGAAGCATCATTCTATTGGATAAAGCTATAGTCTTAGTTAATATTTAATCGATGGCACTCATCAATCAACTGAAAATTCAGATTCCAGACAGTGGATGAGGTTTAAATTGTGCATTATTGTGAACATATTATAACCTGATGAAGAAACCTGATTCTTTTGCATGTCGAACGATTCCCGTTCATTCCTAAGAAATTTATTTCTGATACCCACAGGGTCATTTACCAACAAAATACATAAATCGGACGTGATATTTCCGAATGGGATTCAACAAACACAGTCGTAGAGTAGTTCCATGTGACCCAGAAGAATAACCATTCTGTGTATCATTAGCAACACCATCTTATTTTTTTTTTCATTGAACTATAATATGTATAACACTTTATTTATTTGTTACTATTATAACATTCATCCTTTATCTTATAACCAACATGACATGACGGCTTATATAAGAAATAAAAGTCTGAGTACCGGTAATGTTCTTGACCATTGTAGATTAGATCCCATGTTAAATTATTACCTCCCAGAAGCAATTGCATATTGGAATTATTATTTTGATTACCCGGTAAATCTCTCTATAGAGACAATTAATTTCTTTTCAATTTGATGTATTCTTATGGCTAAAATCCACTTGTCTCTACTTGTGACCTAGGCCAGTACTTCTATAGGATACCACCTAATACCATGATATAAACCAATATTCAGATTATATTATGACATTACTAACTAAACACTAAATATATATCTGGATTTGTGATTAATTTTTCCCACGTATTTTCTAATATTAGTTATTTGTAGTCTGAAGGGGCACCTGCTTGTTGAAGGGAGGTAATTCAGTATATCTGGAGGAGTAAAAGGTATTGTTATTGTTAGGTCAAGACACTCTGAAGAAATTCCATGGTCAGGTCGATGGTTCTTGTTTTTAACGGGGTATTAAAACATTCAGAAGATATTTAACCGAGTGTGATAAATATGAATAGAAATACAAAAGAGTTTAAAGTAACGTAAGTGTTTTCAATCTGCAATGATTTCCTTCCATGAATACACCAAAAGAGAAATTGGTGGTAACCAAGGTAAACATGTTTTAGGCTAAATTAAGTAATAGCCTAGCCTACAAGTGTCTGTGACTTTATTTTCAATGTAGAGAGATTGTGCTTTTTGGAGATGAGGATCTGTAAGGAAGACCTGACAAAGAGATTTAATGTTTTCACTGATATTATTTATGAATTCTGATAATGATACTGTTACGGTCTCTATTGGAAGCATAGGCTACACTCAAACATGTTCAAACACCTTTTTTCTATTGCAAGTGCAGTATATTTATATAACTTGCAAAATAATGGTTCGTTTTTAAAAGTAATGCTGTTCATAATTAAATATTTGCACCCATTCTAAGATTCTATTTGAAGTGATTTTAAGCAATTGTGAAAGGCAGAATGTCTAATTAATTGCTCGACATTGTGATGGATGTTGATGTTTTCAAACTTAAGATAAATAAAAAAAAAAAATTTATTTTGAAGAGAAACTCAGACAAAATTTTCCCAAGCTAGAATTCAACATGTAGAAAAATTTCTAGGCTTATTCTGTGATACACTGGCTTCGATCACAAGAAAGAATGCAAGACTTCGAGATAAAGGTAGGCTATAGATCCTTCTCTTTCAGATGAAATTGAATATATTTTGAAATTGCTATGGGCTATTAAGATCAAACATTATTTTGAAAAATGGAGAATTATGGATTTTAAACCCCAAAAATTAGAGTTGAATAAAATATTTAAAATTTTATTGCATAGCAAAGAGAAATCTGTAATTACCAAAAGGGAACAAACTTGATGTTAAAACATTTTTATTCAGGTGATTTACTGTCTAAGTATATAATGGAATATGCTGGGGCAGAAAAAGCCAATGTAACAACTCAGAATTCACTTGTCAAATTTGCTGAGAATTTCTCTGCTATTCAGGATTATAGACAAGCTGAGGTAATTCAAATCATTTCCTACAAACTTTTATATTACAACCAGCTTCCCATTTATTTTGGTGGAACAAGATTATCAGTATGGTACTTAAAACAGCAGCTTTATTAGCTATGTAGACTCTCCAAATGTTTTGGTCAAGAACCAGCTGGAAGACAGGATTTGTTTTTATCTTTGCAGAAATAGTTTTCTTTCAGACATGAGATGTTACATGAAAGATATCTTGCCACATTCTTAAAGTACTATATTCCTGTCAATTTTTCAAGATAAAAAAAACCATATTCCAATCAAATCTTGTTGATATTTCAGATAAACAGATTAGAAGCTAAAGTTGTACGTCCCTTAGCATCATATGGTGATGTTTGCAAACACATGAAGGTATTCTATTTATTAAAATGTTATTGATCACGAATCTAATATCTATAATGGCCTAAATGTGATGATAGGATTTTTCGTTTAATTTTAATGAAGCGTGATGTCGGCTCGTTAAACAAATTTTAAAAATTTAAAAGGGGGTATCTGTAGCAATTTCATAAGGTATGAATTGTGACTTAATCCTTTCTTCCTATACGTTCATCTTTCTCAGTGACAATGTTGGTATTTCCATGAATTTCAGTAAAAGGAGTAATTTTCATTGGTTATCAATTTTTGATTTTTAATTTGTCGGGTTGAATGTTAGACCTTACTGTGTCATTCATTGTAGTGAACCTTTTTATCTAACTTATTTGTGTTTTAATTTCAGAGCATTGTGAAATCATCAACAGTATCTCATAATAAAGAATTGAAACAAAAACAGCAACTAGAAAAATTACGTCAAAAAGCACCAGGTGATCGTCATCAAATTGTAAGATTTCATTGTAGACTATTATTTGCAAGAAATAAGAACAAAGTGCTTAAAATTTTAGTTTAAATTTATGATGTTCTTGGGCTATGCAATACTTTGGTCTCATAACACTATTTTCATACCATGTATTTCACAGTTAGTTGTAATAGAAGTTTTATAGACTCAAAGCAGTAGACATTATTTTCATTGAAGGCCAAAATACAATTTTGAGGATATTGTTTAAACTATGGCTTGAATTTATTTCAAATCTATTGTGAGGTTTCATCATTACGGAAGCGTATTAGGGACATTCATTTTTTTTTTTTTGAATTTTTCAAGTTAGTATGTTGAATTTG